AAAAAAAAAAAAAAAAAAAAAAAAGGCCAAAGATGGAGCTCAATGTGAAGGTGCTGGGTTCAATCTCCAGAGCCGAATGAAGAAGAGGAGGGAAGCAGGAGCCCGACAGAGCTTCTCTTGGCTACTGTCTAGCGTGACACTGGGCGCACCCAGCTGGCATCCCCAGAGAAACGAAGCCTACGCACACGGATGGGAAGTGGAACAGCATGGCTGTCCAGCTCTGGGAGAGAGCTCGCACTCACAAGTGTGCCACCAGCTTCACACCAGCCTCCTTGGGGCTCCCAAGCTCCCCTGCAACAGCCAGCCTGGGGTAGCATCGCAGCCTCGCTGTTCACCTCCTCCGCTGTGCCCTACCTGGGCACCAAGCCTACCTCGAGTGCCACCTCCCCAGACCTAGACCCAGAGCAGCAGGGCTGGGATGTCTGGGGTGCGGGCCCGCAGCACCAAGTCTGGTTCTGGCTGGATAACTTGGCCCAGCGCCACCCCATCCATACTGAGTTTCTCCCTCACCGAGATGGTAGCAGCTCTCTCACGAGGCTGGCAATTCGGACACAGTGTACACACTGAGCACCGCTCCATGACCACAGGAGTCATCACTGCCATCATCTGTCTCTCTGCACCTTCTGAGATGTGAACTGTGACCTTCAATTCCGCATCCCGTACACAGGTGAGAAGAGCCCCGAGCGGAAGTGCTGAGCTGTGACCCAGTCCAAGCAACGCCCCCTGAACACCAGCACTGCACAGGCTCTTGGGGCCCTTCCCAGGCCCACTCTGCTGCCCTGTGTGGGAGTCTGAACTGCTTTCCTGTATTGTGGAACTAAGTTTCTTCTCCCTCCAGCCTGACGCCAAGCTCTGGACTTGCGCAGTCCCCACACAGGAGGCCAGGGCAGAGACAGAGGAGCAGGAGCCCGACGCCCACTCTATCCCCGCCTTCCTTCCCTGGTCCCACCCACACGTTCCATGTGGGATTTAAGGTTGTTTATAACGACAGCACACACACACACACACAATGAGAAATGAAACTGTAGGACCAGGAACCCATTTTAGGGTGAAAAATACCAACACGACCTCACCAGGCCATAGGAAACCCCACCTACCTTGTCCCAAGCAAACAGAAAAGGAGAGCTCAGAGCACGTGTGTAACTCTTCCTGGACTGAGAGAGGAGGCTGCAGCCCAGAACATTCTAAGCTCCACACAGGCCCTGTTTGCAATGCTATTTACTCCAGCAAGGTGCCTGGTAGTCAACACTTCCAGGGTAAAATGAGCCCATTTTTCCTTCCTCCAATATCGCCATCTCCCTTCTTCCCTAAGGTTTTGTTTTGCTTTTCTGAGTACCACGGCTCGAACTCAGGACCTTGTGCTTATGAGCAAAGCGCAGCACCACTGAGCTAAATCCCTGGGCAAGGTGCTTTAGTTTTAAAGCAATTTTATCTTTAATCCAAACCTTTATGCTCTACATTTTCGTGAATTAAAAAAGAAAACCAACATCTTCCCCCCCGCCCCGATTTACCTTCAGTCATGCAGAATACTCGGAGAAAAGCCAGAAGCTGAGCAGAGATGGGCGGCTCTGTAAAATGCAGTGCAAAAACACTGGACCTGACAAGAGCAGAAGGAGAGGTCAGCTGCCCTGATGCACCCAGAGCGAAACCTGCTCATCTCGGCCCTGCGCGGTGGTCCGTCTGTCCGTCTGTCCACCTGGGAGGGCGGAGCGGAAGGAGCCTGGCTCTGCACAGGACTGGCTCTGGATGGCCTCCATCTCGGGGCACATCCTCATCCTCACCCTCACAATAAGGGAATCAGACATGCCCACAGTTCTTAAAAATGTTAATAATAATTTATGATAAGTTCACACTTTAATCATTAATCAAATATTGACAAGTTCAATAAAAAAGGCCTGGATAATCCATTTTCATTAAGAATGGTTCCTCTGTTCCCTGGAGGTCTAATAAATCATAATTCGTGTCTTCTTTATCATTTTACTCCTCAGATGCAAGAAAATCTTCAAAGAATTTAGCCGGAAATTCTTGAAAGTATTGAGGATCATGACTTCATTACAGAAACCAATGGAGGCAAATAATTAAATGAAACAAATTGATCCAGGTCATTAACCTTTTCAAGGTGAAAGACATTAATGACACCAGAGCACTCATTTAACTGAAGGAGGCCTGCGGGCCCGGTCCCCCGACCCTGCGTCCATCTGGAAACGCTGGTGACTTCCCACACATCCCCATGGTCTAAGGCTGCAGTGTGACAGGGACAGAGGGACAGAGGCACTGCTGTGGGAGCGCTGGACAGACAGAGGTGCAGGAGGTGCCGACCATACGTACGTGGGGATGCCAGCGCGAGCCAGCACCTCGGCCTTCATCGCATACAGCCGGTCGCTTTTACTCACGCCAAGCTTTATTTTCACTCTGTCGTGTGAATTGTTGTCAAAGAAAAAACCACTGTGGATCACAAACTCTGCATTTGACCGAGTGCCATAAAAAATGTAAATCTGAGACACAGCAAAGAGAAAACACAGGGCATAAAACAGACTCAGCGTGTACACCACCACAGCAAGGCTAACGCTCATCTACTCAGAACAGACTAAGCAAGCCCCGACACTGAGCAGGGCCAGGCTTAGCTCGCACCTTTGTGATGCTGCGGGACACCAGTGTGGCAGCAGCTCGACGGGGCCCATAGGTGTCCGTCCGCACCATCTCCCACCTTCTCAAACCCCCACAGGGCACTGAGCCAGGGCCTTGCTAGTACACCAGGCGTCCTGTCCCTGGCGGTCCCCAGGCCTTTCCTGCAGTCCCCCACTCCCAGGGGCTGCCTGGCTACTCCAGTAAGCCTGGCTTGGGAGGGCCCATCTGCCTCCCCTGTCAGCACAGGGAGTCCCTTCCGGAACAGGAGTTCTGAGCAACACTTATCAGAAACCCGCTTCCACATCCTTGGCAATTCTGCACCTAGCAGGAGGGCTCACGGACTTCCCCAAAGAAAGTGCGGATCAACACTTCGTTAGACTGATTTATTTGCGGCTCCACTGGAATGCCCTGATTCTCAATGCGGGGATTCAGAGACTAGGATTTTCAAAATACTTGACAGCTTACTCTTGTGCCCACCCAAATTCTCAGATATAGATTAAAAGGACTCCCTTGTATTTCTACAGCTTAACTACTGCTTCTTTATAAAGAACCAATAAATGAAGAAATGAAAACAATGCTGATTATGAAATAACTTGTTTTAGTGTCGTAAGATAAACTTCATTTTCCGTTAACCTTGTTACAGGTTATCAGGCCAACCTCCCAATAACTGCATTCAATTTTGGTTCCTTTGTGGACCCAAAGCACCACACATTAACTGCAGCTTTAGGTCTCAAGATGCATTTAGAAAACAAACAACCCTAAAGATAAGTTTTCCTCCACCACCTAATACCTTCCTACAATGGCAGCACGCCCGTGGCGCCCAGGCCAGCCACATCCTGTGGCGCGCTGGCACCCACCTGCTCCCCAGCCCGGAAGTCTTGCAGAGCCACACACTCGCAGCGGTCGTCCTCCAGGTTGTAGCCGGTGGTGATCTGGCCACGGGAAAGGAACAAGAAAAGGATGAGGGCCCGAGGTTTGCTGTGGCCCAGAGGTACTCAAAGTGCGTGGAGCCTGGCTGCGGAGTGACACACCAGAGAGGACGGAAGCGCCTCAGAAAAGGTGCAGTCACTTCCTGGTCCATGTCCCATCCCTCCTTACACTACAGTCTCTCCGCCTTGCGGAACAGCGTGCATGCAGGTGACAGGTGAGGCACCTGGTGACACCTACACCAAGTCTCGCACCTGCTCATGGTGACTTGGAGAAGCAGGCTCTTTGGCGGGCTCTCATTCATTTGCAAGAGTTACCTTAATCTACTGTTTAAAAAAAATTTTTTTAGTAAAAAACAAATGTATTAGAAAATTTAACAAGCATTCTTCCTTCCTTGTTGGGCACCTTAATCTAATGTTTGACCATTAAGGAACTGACATGGGTCTTCCTCTGGATAAAGAATCAGGGGGCAGTCAGGAGATTTAGCTCAGTGGTTCCTCCACCTGTCTTGCAGGCACAAGGACCGGAGTTGAACCCCTGGTACCGGAAAAAAGGAATCAGGGGGCAAGAGAAGCTCTATTTTGGAATTAAATATTTTACTCTGTAATTAGGAAATTTAAAACTTTTGAGTAGGAAGAGCAAAGTAAAATAGCCACAGCTGCAAAGCTTGGGGTAAACGCTTGCCTAGGATGTGCGAAGTCCTGGGTTCCGGCTCTTCGTCACCCCTTTTCCTGCTGAGTCTCGTCTCCAGGCCATCGCAATGCAGGATGTCCTCCACCCACCCCTCAACTGTGTCTCCCCAGGTCCTGCTTTGGTGAGGGCCGGGCTTGGTCCTCACCAAGGGTACCACAAAATAACGGCACTTTGCTGGTCAGCGTTTTATCTCCTAGATCTCTCTTTGGTCCTTCTCTATTTGTTCCCAGGCCTCGTGCGTGTTCACCTAGCTGAGTATTTGCAAAAGCCTTTCCAACTGGCCCCAGAATCTGGTCCTGCCGTCCTACGTTGGCTCCTCTGCCTCCAGAACAAGTCTACACTCCTCAGCAAGACCAACTCCAGGAGCCCTGCCAGGTCGGGCCACAGTCCCTGTGTCCTCTGGCCTGGAGCTCCCTTCTCCCAGAGCAGACCTGGCCTCACAGTGCCGCCTCTGCCCTTCCAGGCTGGCCTCCCTCCTCTGGCCACCTCCACCTTGTGTCCAGATACCTGCCACCCTCGTGAGTGTCCCCAGGACCTGCATGCGGCACCCAGCACCTGATGCTGAGATCGATTGAGGCACGACCCCCAGGGGAAAGAACATGCCCCCACTTTACAGTAAAAGCTCTTTAGCAGCCTGTCTGAGCACAGCCTCCAACCTGCCAGCCCCTAAACCCTCACTGATTCCTGCTTGACCTATCATTCCATCCTGGAGATCAAAGATGCCAGGGGCTGCAAGGGCTGCCTTAAAGGCATTGGCCTGGCATTGGCACAGCAACAGGATGGAAGGCCACAAATGCTCATCTTTAAACCCAACCTGCCTAGAACTGGGGTTTACAGAGCCCACATATAGATGCCCTTCATGCTTCTGATCTGCAAAGTCCAATGAGAAACACAAGAGCAATGAGAGACTGAGGAAGCCACGTATTCTAGAACAGCTTCGCTCACTGATCATGCTCAGTGCTCAGATCAGATTCAAGTCAGCTCTCTGAAGTTCCTGCTGTTTTGGACCCAAAGTAGCATCCTGCTAACAGTGCAGAACAAGCTGCCACAGGGAGAGGCAAGCGCTCCCCTGCTGCGACACCCGGACCGGCCAGCAGCAGAAGCGGGGAGCAGGGATGGCAGAACGAGGGAGAGGAAGGGAGCATAGCTCACTGTGACACGAGGACAGGCTGCAGGGTGCTCTGCCAACGCCCCTCCCACTGACCTAGGTAACATCAGGGCCTGTGGTGGATCAGCGGGGCCACAGCGACCCACACATGCACCAGGCCCTCGCCTCTGTGGCGTCTCTCAGAAGGACACAGCGGCCCTGGGTTGGGTGTGGAATTTCTCTGTGTGGCACTGCCAAATACTTCCTCAGTGTGCTCTCAAAAACTCACCTCAAGAAACCGCATGCACTGGGGGCTAGAACTGAATTAGTGCAGCAGCTATGGAAGAGTGTGGGGGTTTCTGGAAAACAGATCTGAAGTAGAACTACCACAGACCCAGCAATTCACTCCTTGGCATACACTGGGGGGAGGGGAGGAAGTCAGCATGGCAAAGCCGCCTGCGTCCCCACATGCACTGCGGCACTATTCACGACAGACAGCAGAGACAGGGAGGCTGCCCGGGGACCCACATACACCGTGGAGTATTATGTGGACATGAAGAATGAAACTGTGCCAAGTGCAAGACAGGAGATGGAGCGGAGGATGTCAAGTTAAATGAGGTATGCCAGACACAGAAGGACAGCATCGTGTGCTAACACACACAGGGACTTAAGACAGGAGGTGCCCGAGATGAGGGACCACAGGGAAGGAGGGATGGATGGGTTGGAACAGGGTCACAGCACGCCGTGCGTGCATGTGTGTGTCCACCTCATCGAGGTCAACCAGGGTAGCCTGCGCGGTGAGGGTGCTGAGGAGGAAGCAGGCAGGGCAGGGCGCTCCCCGCAGGTGCCGTCCTCCTTGGGAGACCTGGGCCACCCCAGGACTCTGCAGCCTCATCGGGGGCAGCGAGCAGGATGTCGCCTGGGTCACTCCGCCCCTCCCAGCTGACTCATTCCACACTGGGCCCTGAGCTAAGCCTTGCTCCCCACCAGTGGGACAGTCCAAAGGGGCAGAGGGTGTGGCAGGTTGCATTTGCTGGCGATTCTGGAGGGGCAGAGTGGGCAACAGGCGCCAGGGCACCCAGGGAGGGCGGCTGCAGTGGGCCGGGGGAGGAGCACAGCTACCCAAGAAGGAAGGCACGAGATACAGCTCCCCAGGCAAAAACAGCCAGGGCTGCGGGCACTGTGACTTTCTTCTTTTCTGTGTTTTTCAAATTTTCTCCAAGTAAGTATCATATTACTTTCACTACTGTAGCAGCAGAGAAGTAATGAGGTAATACATGCTCATCAAATAAAATGTGGAAAATATAAGAGAAAAACAGAAAGAAGAAAAAGGTCACAATCTTATTAACAATTTGGTTTCTTTCTGGTCTTTTTTCCCTAGGCATTAGTATATACACCTTTCGGTCATCTATTCACCACAGAGGAATGCATTTGAAAAATATCAGCACTGGAATGTACCCAGACCTGGGGTATGAGCAAGACACACAAGCAAACCACCTGCCTCATGGGCCTTCATTCTGACGGGGGAGGACACATGTTAGACAGAATGATATGGACAGCAGGGAAATAGAGAACTACATATAGACAAATAATTAATGAGAAACAACTGGAGAGGGAGGAAGGGATTCTATGGTGGTGCACATCTGTAATTCCAGCACTCGAGGAGCCCGAGGCAGGAAGATGGCGAGTTCAATCCTAGTCTGGGCAACTTAGCAACTCAGTGAAACTCTGTCTCCAAATAAAACATAAAAAGGGCTGGGATGCAGCTCACTGCAAAGGCCCTGAGTTCAGCCCTCCACCCAGGAAGGCAGGGCTTACGGGATGGGTGGCACGACAGGCTTACACAGGATGCTCGGAGCTGCCTCTCTCGGGGTCGCTGGGGAAGGGGTGCTGACAGTGGGGTCAACCCACGTGCCGCGGGTGTACTGGGGCAGCTGGCGAAGGGTCCCTGTCTGCTGTGAAGACACTGGCTTTTACTTTGAGATGGGGAGCTGAAGGATTTAAGAGCTTTGGTTCACAGGCAGAAGGAAGACCTCGAAGGAGGACCCAGCTGGCTTCTGCTAAGTGTGCGGCGTCCTTTCCCTAGCTGGTATCACTTGTCCTGACACCAGAGCTCACATGGGGCCTGTGAACCACCCGTCGCTGCCCTCTCCTATCAGCTGACCTGAGGGTGCCGGCTGCTGTCCTCCATGCTCCTCACAGCGCAGCGTGCCCTGTCTGAAGCAGGCCCCTCCCCGACCCGCCACGCCCACCGCCTCTGCCTGTGTCCGCTCCTCTTGCAGCTGTGGCTCTGGAATTACCACCACAGACTGGACGCTGTGCTCCCCGCCAGGCACTGGGGCACACATGTGCCCACTCCCTCGGTAGGAGGAGGGTGGCAGCATGGAAGTACAGCAGAGAGAAAAGCTCTCACTGGAGAAGCCAAGCCTTGATTTCAAGTTTTTTTTGTTGTTGTTGTTGTTTTGGTATCAGGGATTGAACTCGGGTCCTTGCGCTTGTGAAGCAGGTGCCAGAACCACTGAGCTAAATCCCCGGCCCAAGTGTCTTATTTTTAAAAGGAGATTAACCGTTGACGTGTATGGTACACAACTTCACAGTGATAAAATAGGATTTCTTAAATCCGACCACATGAATTCCCCCATGAAGTCTTACGACAAGCGGAAACAGTTCACAAGGCTCAGAGCTGTGGCTGAGAGGAGCCCCCAATGTGTAGCAGGTGCCCTGAACCCTCTGCAGGGCGGCAGCCTCCTCTACCAGGACGTGGCAGGTTGCAAACTGCACAAATCACACTAGTGGTGCGAGTAGTCTGCAGTTTATTTTTATTTTAAGATAAACTAAAAAAAATAATAAAATAAAAAATAAAAACCAGAATAGTTGCATCACATTTACACAGAGGCAACGGGGAGCCAGAGCCTCTGAGTACGAGGCGGGGCTGGGCCAGCTGCCAGGGCTGCCAAGGGCGCTGCATGGACCAGGCACCCCCAGGCCACCACCTCTCCTTTCTCCAGACTTCTGTACCGTTTGTTTGTTTACAAGAAAGCATTCCTTCCTCAATTTTAGAAATAAAAAATAAACTCTAATGATCAATCAAGTTCAGGAACCAATGATCTAGTCCAGAAAAAAGGGGAAAGAAAAATATAAGAATCAGGTATTCTCAGAGCTATTTGAAAATCTTTTAATTTCAAGCTTAAGATCAGTTAAAAATATCTCTGAAGGGGAAAAAAAAAGAACAAAGAATGCAGAATTATATTCATTAATGGGAATACAAAACATGCTGCTATTTCTTAGTATTGCTAATTAAATTAATCATATCTAAATTAATGCAAAATGTAATGATAAAAAATGGAACTACAGTATTCTTTCCTGCTACAACTGAAATATCGTTAAGACTCTGGAGAGCACTTGCTGCTAGCCTTCCCCAGTCAGCAGGAGGCTGTTCTATCAGAAGTGCTTGGCACCCGGTACACGTGTTCTGGCCATTCTGTGGAGTCACAGGTGAAACACTCATTCCCAGCCTTTCTTTACTCATTCATAACACCGCTGATAACAAAGAAAGCTGGCGACAAGAAACAGGAGGTGAACATGAAACAACCAAATCAGTAGACTAATGTTTAAAATTCTAAAATGACCTGGGATCCATCAGATTTCTCCCTCCCTGTCGGCTCTGAGAAAGCTGTGACCTGGACTGTGGCTGAACCCAAGGAGTGCTGAGGAGCAGCCCAGCCTCCTGCCCACCTCTCCGCAGCCCACCCTCCCCCCAGGCCAGGACACCCTGGCCAGGGTCTGTGGAGCCTCAGGGGAAGGGGCAGGGGGGAAAGTAGCAGGAGGAAGTGCACAGCTGGAAGCCAGTGCAAAGAGAAAAAGGAAAGGGATGGAAAGGAAAACAGGGAGGATCTTCAATAAATCAGTATTTTTAGAAGATAAGGAAACTTCGGCTGAGCCTGTGGTACAGCAAGAGGTACAGCAAGAGAAGAAAATGCATGTGCAGGCTGGAATTATGGCTTAGCAAATAAATGCACTTTGCTGTGGTTTCTGCAGTGGTGTAAGATTCAAGCTCCTGGTTTTCAGCCCAAAGTGAGCAGAGTGGAAGAGAAAACCTGGGAGGGGGACACGCTGTGGCTCTGAGTGCCTTCTGGAGGGAGGTGACGGAACAAAAGCACAGGAGTGGAGTCCACCCAAGGACTCAGCACAGGTTCTGGACTAAACCCAGGGAGATCGTTACCAGGCCGTGGGTGTGGTTACACATGTCCCACAAGGGAATCAGGGCCAGGGTCACCCGGGAACCGTCCTCCGTGGGAATCTGATTTTGTCGAGTCATTACAGAAGAGACGGCCCACCTGTAACAATCAGAACAGAGCAAGTGAAGTTCGCAAAAATGTTTAAAAGCCAACTGCAGTAAGAAGCAACTGAACCAGAAAGGTAGGGTCATCTGGCCTCTCACAGGGCTTCAGAGCCTTTGCCTGAATGCCAACGGCAAGGCTCGGCCTTTTTCATTATCAACTAAAACTAAATCATGGACAAGTGGGGATGGGGGACAACGTGGGAAGTTAGAGCCTTAGGGCTGCGAGCAGAGGCCAGACCCTTTCAGTGGGTCCCCAAGACTACTGAGCCCCACATCACCCTGTCTTTTGCCTGAAAGCTGACCCTGCACTTACTCCAAGCCTCAGTGAGAAGCAAATGCTGTAACTTCTTCTTGACCAGAAATCCTCTAAGAATTCTACGAAATGTGGAAGGCAGTATTTTTATTACATTGCACAGTAAGTTAACTCTTTCTGTTAAGTCCCTACTTTACAGTGATATAATCTACTAAAAGGGGGAAAAATCCTTTAGCACCAGCCAATGCTGACATTAACCTCAAGCATCATTCAGCTACCTCAACCAATCTCCTGCCGCCAGGGCCCAGGGTGATCCCTAGATGGCCATTAAAGTGCCGGGGATGTCCAAGCCCTTCACTTTCCCTGGGACTTCAGAGACCATCTCTGCTCTGAGGCTTCACACAGTCACAGCAGGTCACTTCCTGAAGCGACCCCCTCACTTCCAGGACCCCGCGTTTCCTTGGAAACCACATCCCCCACCCCCACCCCATGCTGGGCCCTCACACCAACCTGTAGTCCTCGTAAGTGAAAGAATCCTTCAAGGGCAGTTTGTTGGCATGAGGATGGGTCTGGGAATGCGAAGTTTAGGAAAGCAGAGGTGAAAAGAGAAAAGGGAAAACAGAAATCAGTCGGCAGAATTTCATTATGTAGCTGCCTAACAGATCCTAACAAGAGCCAAATGAAGCAGGAGCCGTCCAGCCGCGCTACTGAGGGATCATCATGCTATTATGGGCTCATACATCACTGTCAGCTTAATTTGTTGTGCCCAGCAGCTGCCATAAAGCTGCTCCTTCATATTTCGATCCTAGAACCCACAGCCACCGTGGCGAGCACCATTTAAGGTGGAACCAGCTTTGCAGAGGCAGCACAGCACCGAGGGTGCCTCATTGGCTCAGACACAGGCTTCAGGATGACGCCCACCCCGGCACTTCCGGGTGTCTCAGACCCTGGGGTCTGCGTGGCCCCCACACTGAAAGTTTGCTCATTTCTCTCGGACTTCAACCATTTAATAGGATCGACATACGTGCAAAGGAACTGTGGGCACCACAAATGTGGACCACGTACCAAGAATCAAGAAAAGTTCCTTTATGGGATTCAAAAAATTTTACAAGCAAATAACATAAAGCTAGAACAGAAACCAGCATATTTTTAATTGCACTATTTTTTTCTGAACAAAAGAACACTTGGTAAAAATATCTATAACATCACACTTAGGAGAAAATTTTATACATTTTGTATTCTCTCTTTGCCATGCTGCTCCCAACCTTTCAAGCACTTCAAAAACTTTGTCTCGATTAGAAATTAAAAGCTGTAACAATATAATTTTAATCTCCAGTTTCAACTACAGTCTGATAGACAGATTGCAGCAAGCGATCAAATGAACAAATGGTTATTTCCAAGCTACAGACACAGCCCTGCCGTGCGCCGGCACCACGTTAATGCTGGCCCTGTCTGTGCACGCGGCTCGCCTTCCTCTCCCGCGTTGGCATCACGAGCACACTGCAATTTATCATCGCTCCCTGTAATGTACTCGCTGGCACCATGCACAAGACAGTAGGGGATGAGGTAAAAGTGGCTTGAACCGTAAATCAATTAGAAAACAAAGGCTTGTGCTCAGTACGCAATTTTAGGCAAATTATATATTACAAAAGGGTGTCAGTTGGGTGTTGGTGCCCAGGTGCCCGTGCCCAGTTTTAACCCTTCGCAAGGTGAGTCCGAATGTGACAGTGCCCACAGAGGCTCTGCTGACCGAGCACAGCCAGCCTGGGAACCACGTCTCAGGGGAGGGGCCGCTGCCACAACCAGCTTTGGCCAGGGCCCCACACATCTCACCCTTTCTCTGTCACGGTGAAGGGCAAGGCTGTGCTCCAGCAGTCCCGAGCATGGCTTCCATTTAATTAGTAAACTTAACCACGGGGGTGCTCAGGTTTTTACAGAGAGGTGAGGGAAAGGGAGTAAAAAAGAGCAGGATTCACTACGTACGCACACCAGTACCCCACGATGAATAGTCATTATGCACCACAAATACATACTAATAAAATGTTTTTACAAAGTACAAGTCAGCAGGTGAGAACTGTTCCTTCCCAAGCTAACTAGATCACAAGAACCACCACAGAAAAATTTCACAACTATAAAGAAAAGGGATTATCTCACTAAAACGTTTTTTCCACTATAATATAATAAAGTAAAATTTCATAGGCTGATCTACTAGAAATTCTGCATGTGCCAGCTCTTCAGAGAGGGAAATGCTATTATTTTGTTAATTTTAAATATTTTAATTTACTTAAGCTATGGAATTTACCCTGATATTTTCAAAGGTGGTAAAATTCAATGCTAAATCCAATATATACTAAACATTTTACATTTTATCTCACAAAGCTTGACTTAGTAAATAGAAGAATAGATGACAATTTTTTAAAACCAGAACACTGAATCTCAAAACAACTAACTTGGGGAAGCAGGCACAGTGGTGCATACCTGTAATCCCTGCTACTGGGGAAGCTGAGGCAGGAGAATCAGAAGTTCAAGGCCAGCATGGGCAACTTAACAAGGTCCCTTCTCAAAACAAACAAACACAAAAAAGTTGAAGAAGAATCTTCCAATACTTGAATATTTTTAAACAGTCTTGGAACCCACAAAATTACTCAAATATAGGTGTCAAGAATCTATACGATGAAAGATTAATTCTCCAAAGTGTCCCCTCCTTACTATTTATGAACAGTTTCTTACCTACTGTATAAATTAGTGCTTGTAGTCTTAACAAAGTCATTAAAACAAAACAAAAATATATAAATGCATTTTTCAGATCGACTATTTTGGCTGTATAGTGGTTATATAATATTTGCAGTCTGTCAGAAATGTTCTTATCTTCGTGAAAAGCCAGGGTGTGCCTACTGTGCATGGCTCTGGTATAAAAGCGATTCTTCGTGACACATGCACTTAGCAGTTACACTGAAACAAAATGTGACACATGAGAAGGCAGGAACTTCCATTTTTGCAGGGCTGGCGCCTCTGGGACAGCAGCGCCACCTACTGGCCTCATGGGAGAGCGGACTATGGGTGCAGAGCTGAAGACCAGGGATCCCACACAGCACTGTTACCCACCCCTGGCTAAAACAGCCATGATTCCACCTTCACTTAAGTAAAACCTGCTTTCTAAAAAAAAAAATCTACCTCACATCTAAAGATTATTATATAATAATTTTATAAGCATCCTGAAACAGTCAAATACCAAAAGCAATTTGTCCATAAAAAGTATTAAATATTGAAAATATTTTCACTTATTCTGGAAAAACAAACAGGACAAGTGTCTATTCCAAACAATTTCCATTTAATGCTTAATTGAGCCTTTTCCCTATTTCCAAGGTTTAAAAACCTCTTACATTACATGAAAGTTCCCCAAACATTCTCAGGTGAAAACATGCAAGCTCCCAGAGCACAGAGAAGAGAAGAGAGCGTTCCCAGATTCCACTCACAGGGCAACCTCCTGGCCGGGCGTCATGTGCCATCTCCTTCCCAGTGGAGGCATCCTAACCTGTGCTCCAAAAGGAAATGCGGGACTAAAACAGCAAACTTATTCTTTGGGGCCAACTGGTCTTAGCTCTGACTGCAGTTCCCAAAACACAGATACACACAGGACAGGGAAGGGGGTCCAAAAAGTGACAGTGGCCCAGTTCTCTGGACAGCGAGACCAACAGGGCAGGAAGGGCCTGACAATCACTGTTCCACGCCTGGCCCCTGTGAACACAGCTTCAGAAACCAGCCACCGGTTTCTACAGATTTTTAAGTGGTTGATGGTCTTACCTTCTTGAGCATAAAACATATTTGAATTTGGGGAAATGAACAAGTGCCCTCGCTCGTAATCAGACTTGGAGCACTGAGGCGCTTATTCTGAAAGGTAGGTTCTGGAATCCTTATGCAAAGCCGGGCAACCCCAGTACAGCTCGCCTCCCGTCCCCTCCTTGTGAGACAGTAATATTGTGCCGAGTACAAAATAATCACTATGTTTGGGAAAGATTAATATCTGAAACTGTTTGTTTGGCTTCAATAAAAAGCAGCAATATTGCTAAATATGTAAGTATGACATTTTGAAGAATTTACCATATTGCATGGGTCTGGTAGCGATGCTTAAGGAAATTAAAAACCACTACAGTCAGCATATTTGATCCTTATTAAAGTTCTGCCTTGAACTATCACTCACATAAAACAAAAAATAAACCAAGAAGAAATTTAAATAAAATCTACGGATTATAAGTGTTTGAAGATGAAAAAACAAACGATATTCTAGCTTTAAAAAATTGATTTAGCATGCAGCTTCTCTTTATAGTCCCTTGATAAAAATGAAATCTCCCTAACAAACACTTAATAAAACCTGTCAATATCTCTGGAAAGAAAAATGACACAAATGCATTAAGTATTAAATACCCTTGGAAAAAGTCACATATTCCATGAATTTTTGATGTACTATCTTGACATTAATGTAAAACCTTGATATTTATAATTGACAGATATTTAATAAAGTATAAAAGAAGATGGCCGCCGCGCTGCGTGCAGATTTTTCAGGTTGATCAGAGACAAGAGATCCGGACGAGCACGACGCTAAACAACAGTTAATGTGTGCTGCGCGGCCCGCAGCAGCCCGTTTGGAGCCCGCACACCGACCCTTCGCCGAGAACCAAAATGAGCAGAGCGCGTTATGAGAAGTCCTATTCACCACATATGGCGCAGCGCAGCTCGGAGAGTGAACGGCTCTGCTTGGGAATGAACGCACTGCAGTCGGAGGTGTTTCCTGCTTTTAACCCTGAGCAGGGAGGGTTTTTAAAACGAAGACAAGCACCTCTACGAAGACAGGGGCCGGAAGGGCTGCCTGAACAATTCCAAAAGGAAATGAATTTGACCTCTAAAGACGACTCAAGAGCTCTGAGGAGGAAAATGGACCCGACACATGAGGGATTTGGAGACACAAACCCTCCGAAAGGCAGCTCTTCCCTACGCTCTCCCCTCCGAGGCTGATTCTGCAGGAAACTGAGCAGAATACAGTCCGTGAGGCGTTCAAACAGACTACAAAGAATGCTGCTTAGGTCACAAAAATGAGCCCTGACTTCTGTAAAGAATTCACATCTCGCTCTAATGCATACTCAATCATTAATTTCCAAAACAAACATGATAATGCAATGAACGTTCAAAGGCTACAGTATAATAAAATGTATCACTTTAGATGTTATACCTAGCTTATTCTGGTAAAAAGCCGTAACAGTCACTTAAGTTGTCCTAACTAAAATAAACACATCTGGATGTATCTTGTTTTGCTTCTTGGCATACGGTACACTGAAAGGGGCAGTTGGGCTAACTGGCCATGGACAGACACACCCAGCTCCAGAGCTGGGCCCATCTCACGCATTCCTACAGAGACGAAACCAGACGCGCAAGCTCACAATGAGCCTTTCGGTTTGGCCGCAGCCACACACATTTCAGAACTGCGCCCTGCAGCCATGGCCAACAGCTCTCCAGGTTCGATGCCACCAAGAGCCTCCTGGGCGCACGGGCACCCGATGCCTCTCCTCTCCAC